GAGCTCGACTTCAGCGAACCTGATGGAGGTGAGCTCTGACAGGACGGACAGCCGGAGAGTCATGGAGGAAGCGATCATAGCTTATTAGCCGTCAGCATGCAGACCTGGTTTACACACACACACTTAGCACTAGGGATCATTAACTTTTGATACCCTTACCGAGACCTTAACGATCCGATTCTTTAACAATACCACTTGCAATACTTCATTATTTGGTGACTATTTGGTAAGACCAGACCCAACAGGCATGAGGTAGGCCTGCACGGTTCGAGGAAAATATTAAAGTTAACATTAGCTGTGCTAGTAAATAGTAGTCTGATTCTGGTCGGACCTTTAAACTAATGCAGTTACTGTTTGTACCAAACTCTATTTAATTTGGAGAACACACTCACACTCTGGCATTGGACGATGTCAACAATGAATCACTGGGATGGATGATGACATTGATAGGCTACACAATTAACAAGCTGGCATGTGTGCTGACGTGAAAAATGGATCACCGGTGGGGAAAAAAAAAAATTCTGTGTCTTTTCTACGACTTTATAAAACATAACCTACTGCTTATAGCGAAACTCAGGGGAGCAGACAGGCCGAGACAGAGGCGGGGAAAGCCGGTGTGTTTGCAGTGAGAGAACAGAAGTAAAGGTGTGTGTGAGTGAGTGCAGGGAGAAGTCGAGGCAGGTGCATTTAGAAATAAAAATAATGTCCATAGGGATTTAAACATGCTTTTGCAGGGTGTCAAATTGCAGGGTGTAAACATTTTCCAATAAAGAAATGTAAACAATTTCCAATAATTACGCAATTCTACATAATTTTGGAACATTGTTATTACGACATCTGTGAATAATAAGTAGAGTAAGATTTTGAATACACTAAAACCAAAGCTAAATTTGCTAAATAAGTCTACATACAATAATGAGCATACTTATTGGTTGTGGAGCAGTGGATAAGACACATGCCTTTGGTGAGACAGACCTGCATACAATTTCTACTGTGACACATCCATCAATGTGTCCCTGAGCAAGACACTTAACTCCTAGTTGTTCCAGAGGTGTGCCACCTTTAACATATATAGCAATTGTAAGTCACTTTGGATAAAAGCATGAGTTAAATGGCTAAATGTATTTATTATAATACACTCCACCTGGTTCACTTTACTGGCCCTACCACCCTTTCAGCGCTAAGGTCTGCTGACTTTGCTTGGTGTGTAAGAGGCAGATGCTGCAGCATTACATTAAACTAAGTTAACTTACACCAAAACTTAAAAGCAGAGATAAGAGAACCAGTAATATTGTAGTTTATCAATACCAAAATTACAATCTTTAATAATTTAGACAAGGGGCTTATTTAATATCAATCGCTAAAAGAAAAATAGTTTGTCAAGACCACCACCTAACAACTACTAACAGCTAACAGAACAATTACTGAGACAAGACTGTCAATTTTACATTTAAATTTGGTAATGTTAGACACTTTTTCTAAAGCAACTTACATTTCAGGAACATACAAGCATTAGCAAAGCAAGATTAATTTAACTAGCTAACATGACAGCCAAACACACTTTTGAAAGGGCTGTGAAAGTAAATCAGTAAAGGTAACACTACTTACTACTAAATAGGCAGTTATTTATGCGACATTATTTTGCTATGTCCTTGTAGGACTACCCGCGAATTGTTCGGCATGGACATCTACAGTACATCAAGCTAAAGGTAGTTTGTTTAATGTTGCCAACTCCTCACACGTGGACATTTTAACTGATATATGGAAGACTCCAAATATTACAACAAAATGACTCTTCCACGATGACAATGTTAACATTACCTCTTGCCAACACGTCTAATTTAACATCAACTAGTAAGTTAACTTAGCTTCTCAGTGGCACATTTAAGCTAACGTTAGCGATCAACTGGTCACCTTAGCCCTGTTTACAGATAAAGTAAGCCAGCTGGAGTTTATGGTGAACATCAAGTTATTCTACAACTCGGCTCCTGTTAAAATACAAAACAATGGTTTAATAAGTAACAGAGACTTACCAAGGTCCATAGAAGTTTGATACGCGACATCAACGGTCCTTTTACTTTTCACAAGTTTTGCCACCAAATGATGCTGAAATATGAAGGGGATGATGAACTGAATATTGATTTAACTTTTTTTTTACAAGAAAAGAACAAATACATGACTGCTCTAAAATTGGAACAATATCTGAACAGTGGGAAGGGATCATATCTGAAAATTTTTACAGATGGTGCCAGGGAACCAGAGAGTGGGAGAGCAGGTTTTGGGGTGTATAAGTTATAGCTCAACTGGACTTTAGGATTAGCAGGAGAATTACAGACGGAAGTTCTGTCTTTACAACAGAGCTACTGGCAGTTCTTTGGGCTCTGTGGTGGATTGAGGACGTGAAAATAAGAGAAGCCTTAATCTGCTCTGATTCTGCAGCTGCCCTGATGGCCTTGAAAGGCAGTAAAGCAAAAGCCCGTCCTGATACATAAGTGAAATACTAGCATTGGTAGCAATGTTATGTTCTGCTGGGTCCCTGGACATGCTGGAGTTGAAGGAAATGAAGTAGCAGACTTTTTAGCAAAATCAAGCTTAAAGAAGTTAGAGACAGATATAAATATATCATTGGGAAGAGTGGAACTAAAAGAAAAAATTAAGCAAAGGATTGAGGGGGAATGGCACAGATTATGGGAAAATGAGACCAAGGGGAGACATTATTACTCGCAATCTCAGGTTAAAAAAGTCAGGCACTGTTATGGATCCAGAAGAGATTCTGTTAAAATCTGTAGGTTAAGACTTGGGCATTGTGGGTTGAATCAGTTCTTATATGTCATTGGAAAGCATCCTAATGGGCTTGTATATTGTGTATATTTTACAAAGTTCGAGAGAACCCAGCTTTCTTTGCAGTGCTGTGAAAGTGTTTTTTCTTTTCTGTTATTTTAAACCGGAGGCAGTTTGTGGAGTCAGTTTGCCACATTCCTGTCATTCTAACGTTAGTTAATGTTAGCAACTGTAAGGTATCACCAGTGGTTGAAACCTTTCCAGACAGTCGTCAACACTTAACACATAATGTTTCATCTGGGGCTGCTCCTTGTTACATGCGCTTTGTTCTGGTAAGTGAAAAAGTTCTGTTTTCAGGCGCAGTAATGTTAACAGAAAGTTAAGATAAATGATAAAATATTGTATTTTTTTTAGAAAATCAGCATTCGATGATGTTCTTGTTGACCGGGCTAATGAGAAATCTTTATATTGTTTGTTATATTTGCTCTCGCAGGATCAGAGTATTGAGTGGCACTACAGCTATCCAAGGTATGTTATCAATTTGCATATTTCTGCATCAATTGCTGGCTTGCTAAGCAGACATACTGAGGATATAAAAAATACTACATTGCTAGAACTGAAGCCAGCAACATTTCACAGTGGATGACATTTTAACATGAAAGAAGATACTTTAGCCCTGACTTGACACGTAGGGGGGATATTATACTGTTTTAGAAAAATGCATTTGTCCAGCTGTGACTGTGAGAT